TGGGTGGGAAAACACTACGAATTTTTTTTCGGTTGGTATTCTGAAATTTTATTTTATTTTTAGACACTTGTAAAAAAATCTCTCCAAGTATGAGCTCTTAATTTAACGGGAAGGTCCTTACAGTTTCCAATTTTTTCTTGTTATCAGATAGAAGAATTCATACCCCGCTTATAACTGAAAAAATATATATATCTATTATATATAAATAAGTCGGGTTTTCCTTCCTGACGCTATAACTCCAGAACGCACGAACCGATTTCCACGGTTTTGTATTCGTTGAAAAGGTCTCGGGCTCCGTGAGGTTTATAGAAAAATTCAGGAAATATTTCAACAGAAAAGCGGGAAAATCTTTTTCACATACAGCGCCATCTCTGATACAGCATGTACTACAACAATATTTTAGTAGATGGCGCCGGTGCGTGATACATTGTTTGCAGCTACTCATTGTTCTCTGCTCAGTTAATTTCATGTAAACAAACCGGTATTGTGTTCACTGTGTGTGAAAAATAAAGTTATGCGTTCCCTAACATTTCAATTGGAACCCATCAAATCAATCACGTGTATTGTGCAAATTTTTATTCAATTTCAACAACAGGCATTTGTCTTTAAGGTGTAAGTTGAACTGTATAAATTATGTGGCATGCATTTGAGGTTAAATTCACCACTCTGTCCATAGTCCAAAATGCCTAGAGGACGACGTGCACTTATCGCCGCACAAACATGCAAGCCAGCAACAAGTGTATTCACAGAACTTAAGCAAGAAAGACAAAATATTATATAATAAGTGAAATGGCCGATTTTGACAACGCGTGAGCACACAGAGTTCATTGGCATCTACAATCGCTTGCATTCCATGATCCCACTGCGAACTAAAGTGATGATGCAAACTTAGATATTGGACCAATGACGACTATATGCCGATATTGCAATGCGTTAAAGTTCAAGAGAACGGCTGGATTGTGACTGCGCAAGTGGAAAAGATCAAACTGGATCCTTACTACACCACCACAGCCACTGAAACCATTGTTCGATGGAAGTGATCCCGATTCCAGCCATTTTCTTCAACACATCTGAATACAATAACTGCTTTCGCATGCAAAAACCATCACACGATCATAAGTTACACCATTTCTTCAACAAATGATTGTTTGCAATTGAATACAAGGACAAATATATCATTTGCATGGTTCAATGGTGCCAACACCAGATGAACCGCATGAATTTCTGCAAATATATTTATTTCGTCAATGGTGGATCAGCTGAATAGGCGTTGCAATATACAGGAACACAACAGTTAAAGACGAATTATTGAACGAGTGCAAGCATTTTTCACGCTAACAATGCTGTGGTTAATATGTTCAAACAGCATTGGAACGAATGCCTTCGGATACGCACAAATTTGTCATAAGAGCGGATTGTACCCCAACAACTTTCGTTGTAGATTTACGTGAGTACCTGCCGGCGACGGCCTTACCTCACGGTGTTCAAAACACCGTATCAATACAATGCGTTGATCAGCGCCCCAAACAATACGAGCTTTTGCAGTATTTATTTCGATACCAGTGGCAGTTGTTGGGTCCACATTACCATCTTGGGTATTCGAGGCCGACCTAAAACCTCTTCCGTTTTCGGGTACGGCACCCAGTTACTTGTCAACTTCTTTTCAGACGAAAATTCAGTTCTTCCAGCATTTAGGTTTAAACCACAGCCACCACGATACTCCCACAGGGCCGAACCCAATGAGCAGATTGAACAGAAGTCCAAAGGCTTTCTGCTCCCCGTGGTACCGGAAAGTCTCGGTCGACTGCGTAGCCTAAACTACTGCCAGTTGGGTCCCATTACTCAAATGACTGGTGACATTTGTCACTTGAACTTCAAATGTCTTTTATTCGCTTTTTCATTTAAAGTGTTTCTAATATCATTCAAGCTGGTATTATAGCACTATCACTCCACATACTATCTGATATTCTGAGCAAGGTATATAATAGTCATAGTGCATATTCTTTTAGTCGCCTTTACGACAGGCATGCCTTGCCGCGGGCATATTATCCCCTGCGCAGGGTTTTACCCAACAGGTAAACTGTGCGAAGATTCAATGCACCATCGTTAATATGTTGCTGCAATTATTGTTGCAGGCAATTTCGAGGCAGACGTTGCCAGTAATTCCCGTGGAACGGCTGCAGATAAATTGAATGCTTGCCTGAAGGCATCACCTTTATGGACCACTAATATGAGAGTTCAACTTAAAGTCAAATTGCTGCACAATTTTCAAACAATTGTTAGCTGTTGGAAATGGAAAGTCAGTTGATGCGACATCTGGATTAATTACTCTTACCAACGATTTTGCCGGTTGTAGACTCTCAATTAGCTATTTTGAAAATGTTTCCCAACCATTAGTGCAGATTATCAGAATTATGCTTGGTTAAGTCAACGAGCAATTCTTGCCGCAAAGAATAATGATGTACAGGCACTGAGTTTCCCATTCAATCAAAAATTGCTGGCGATTTGGTGACAACAATTCCGTTGATTCCATAACAAATCCCGATGATGTAGTAAGTTATCAACGGAGTTTGAACTCTCTGGGTTACCAGGATTTCACCACATAACTACACTCAAAGTGGGTACAGTTATTATGATATTGCGTAATTTGAATTCACCGCGACTTTGCAACGGTACTCGATTTTCGGTAAAAGACTTATGCCGAATTTGATTGAGGCAACCATTAACGGAAAGTACGCAGGTGAAAAGTATATATTCCTCGGATACCAATGATTCCGACTGATCTTCCGTTTGACTTCAAACGATTGCAATTTCCAGTTCGCCTTGCGTTCGCAATGACAATTAACAAGTCACTGGCCAATCTTAATGTTTGCGGGATAAATTTAGAAAATCATTGTTTTTCACATGGGCAGTTATACGTTGCGTGTTCACGAGTTGGAAACCATCCGCTGTTTGTGTTAATCCAGACCAAAAACAAAAATGTGGTTTTCCAAAAGGCACTTCAATAAACGGATAATTTGCGGACACGTATAACGCTTCGATTCAGTATTTACTTTGGATCCACTTTCATTTACTTAGAGAAGTTCAACTAAATAACACTTCATTTTTGTAATCGAAATGAATTCATTACTGTTGTGAAATGAAATAAAATTTTTCCTTTCCAAATATAAAACAAAAAAAAAAATGTTCTTCATCTTTTAATCACCAAACGAAATATTACATAAAACGAAGCCATCTGGTGGCGAAACGGAGTTCGCCAGGTTTGCTAGTCGATTCATAAATTCTGTGGGAAATCGAATTCTCTAAAAAATGGTCTCTTACGATTCTTTCGTTAACCTAACTGTTTAAAAGATACTAACGGTTGAAGGTTAATTCTTTTAAGGCAAATTTTTCCTTCTCTTATGCGTTTTATAACTTAATGAAGAAAAATCATTTTAATTTGCAAAACTTATAGTTTTGTAGGAAATTAAAGTTTTTTTTAACCGAAAATTCGATACACTTGCAACTTGCAAGAATCGAAGCAAGTCAGGTGTTGGCAAAACTTTATATTAAACAAGTACGGAAGGGCTAAGTTCGGATGTAACCGAACATTTTATACATTCGCAAAGTCAAATAGTATACTCGTTTGAGATTTCTTTGTGGATTGACTGATATTTTCGGTAGAAGGTCAACTATAGGCACTGTGGTCCACATATTAAGTACTTAGGGGCTTGAACAGTTTTGGTTCGATTTAGACAATTTATAGGAGCAGTTGTAAAGATATATCTCAAGAACTGTTTGACCAATTTCGACCAAATTTGGTGTTTGCGGTTACCAACCACGCCTGCTTCCCTTATGACAAACTTTTAAATTCCATCTGATTCTTTCACTTTGCAGTATACAAATCAAACAACAATGAACTTACCAAAATAAAACTTTTCAAAAATAGTACCCACAAAGTATTTCATCTTACCTCCAATCGGACAATAACTTGTCAAAGAATCAAACACCAAATATGTGGACCCCATCGCATATGAGTGATTTTTTATCGAACGTAGCCGTCAATCTGTGAGGTCTAGTATTGAAATTCGAGGAGAATGTTTTTGTGATGACCTTGCGCCGAAAATGGGCAAATTCGGATCAATATTTCCCTTAGCTCTCATATACCTAATATAAATATTTTCGAACTTCCGGTTGACTTTATAACGCATCTAACGGCCAATATGTAAGAAATCTTAATGAAATTCAAAAATACTCTCTTTCTAATAACAGTGTATCCTCGCGCTTCAACAAGTATAAGTTATGTACGGAACTTTCAAACATCCGTTTGACTTTATAAATTATATATGGGTCGGTCTGTGAGGTTTCGTAATGAAATTCAGAGCGCCTTTAATCTTATTTCATAATACCAAAACTAGATTAAATCGATTTAAAATTATCCTTCCCCTCATATGACTTATATGAGAAAATTTAAAAAATGTATATAGAATATGATATATAAGAATTTTAACTTCCGATTGGCTTTATATCGGTCGATATGTATGATGTCTTAGCAAAATTAGGTGAAAGTATAATATTTGGATATATTTATTTATTTATTTATTTTATTTTTTATTTTTATACTATGTACAATAATTTTCATTAGTCCCGATTTATGTATTAAATTTAGTTTTGATTGAGTTTATATCACATATATCTCTTTTGAATTAATTATGTTGAACTTAATATTAATATTTTGGACATGCATAATATAATAAGTCCCCACGGTTATTGCGCCTCTATTGTTTGCTTACTTGAAAACCTTCCAAAATTTGTGATATATTCTTGAACGATCGTACTAACATTTTTTGAAAAAACAATAATAATTTTTTCAATATTTTACAAATATCTCCCTTAATGCAATCAAATTTAATAAATATCGAATGAACTTTGTGTTATTTTAGTCCATAACGGTCTTTTTTTTTGTTCTTTGATATTTTGCATGTAGATTGAATAAGTTTTTATTGTCATTCTTTTCTTTTTAGTATATAATTCGGTTCATCCATGAATTGGAAATTCGAATTTTTAACGTAGCGATCTTCACCGCTGCCATTGTAATAAGTAAATTGTGTCTTAAATGCTATAAATATGTAATTTGGAAAATATTTACTTTTAGGATCATTATTTTATTGCTGTTGATCGTTATGGTATTTCTTCGAGAAGTTACGAAATGTCATTTGGTATTTATCACTACGCCAAACCTCATAATGAAAGACGACATGGTGATGATCAACTTAAAACAGATTAGGCTAAATTCAAACCCCAAACACAATAATTTTGTATGTTTTAACCTTCGTAGTCTCGCAGGATATGAGTCTTTACTTAAGCGCTACAAGTTATCTGTTTCACACATACTTCTAGTCTACTATTTATGCAACTTTTTATGCGCAGCATCGTTACCAGCAGTAATCCCTTTAGGTAAGTTATTAATACTTATCACAGGTAAGTAAACTAGCATTCAGAAAATATTTTCTGTTAAACGCGACGAGTCCGGAATAAGTCTGCGATACCTCGCAAAGGAATATGTGACTAATACCATATTTGATGTTTTTATATGGAACGAACTGTTACCTTTTGTTTGAGCATGTCCTATGAAGAGACTAATTTTACCCTTTTGTACCCGAATACCTACAAAAAGAGACTAATCGTTTTCAACCTCTTACGGACCAGGCACTTGTTACACCATGTACTGACACTAGGCTGTTTTTATACAATTAATCAACATACAAAACAAATACAATTTAATATTTTGTGATTAAAAAAATATATATAATACATTTATTTTTGTTATTATAATAAAAAACACTAAATAAGTTTAAAACTTAAATTCATTTGTACATTTATGAGATTAGAATCTGTAGTACATTAAAATTCCAAGTTTGAAACTTAAATAAATGTGTAAATTTGTATGATAAGAATATGCAATACTTGAAAAGTTTAAAATTAGTTAAAAGTTTAAAAAAAATGTTTAAATTAGTTTGTTTTTAGTTTTTCCCTATAAATTTTTTTATAATGTGTCGCCTTTTCAAAATGCAGGTCTTTCCTTAGGCACTCTTTAAGCATTAAACCTTCTTAAGATTGTTTGGATATTGCTCCTGTCAAAATTAGAAAAAAATTTTGGAAAGTCTTCCTCAGCCCAATTTTTCTATGGGAACCTTCGACATTTGTTAGCTGTATGACTTCCGTTTGCATGATGCGGGATTCTTTATATTGAATTGTAAAATTGATAAAATGATATTCTCAAGAAATGAAAGCAAAAGAAGTTAATAGTATTATTATACGAATATCAGTGCTAAATGTTTTTAAACCATATATTGTGTATCTTTATTGGCCGTTGTAATAATGGTCTCCATCTGTTGCAACTCAGATATGCTACATTTCGGAAAATATTATAATATAATATTTTTGGACTGGTGCCGTTTGAGATTTTTGACGCTCGGTAGCTACTTTCTATCACGCTATTGCATCCATAATGGTTGCGTTTTGCGCTTCCATTACTGTTTGTAGTTGTCCTATTTCGCCATTAAGGTCATCAATTTTCATATCCAAAAGATCGCAATGCTGACAGCATACTGCTTTCGTTTATTCCTGTTTTTTTTACTAACTTCAATATGAATTGACGCAGTTACAAGTTTTCTATTATTATCAAGTTGACATAAGCTAACGTGTTTACGAATAAACGTATACATACCTAAATATGTAGAAACTGCGACAAGTCCGGGATAATTCCGCGATTCGTCGCAAAAAGCAGCTTTGAAAAGAGCAAAAAGTTAGTTTTATATAAATCTTTATATAGGTATATCAATCTTCTGTACGTGTGTTTGTATTTGAACTTCTTCTAAACGGCTGGACCGATTTTGATGAAATTTTTTGTGTGTATTCAAGGGGGCTTGCGAATGGTTTAGATTCACAATTCGATCAACTAGATTAGTTTTTAACAACTATTTTATTTATTTATAAATTTTTGTTGATGTTAGAACGTTTTAAAAAGAATTCCGGCAGACCGCGCTCCAGTCGTGTCAGATATTCAAAAGTATATTTAAGTTTCAGGTGCACCTGGTGGATGACGCTGAGATTAGATTCTTAGATAGCATAAGTATAGTTAAAACTATGAAGACTATAGACATGTGTATGCTGTATAATGTCTAAACATTCATACTGCTATGCTACACTATACGATACATATCTGAATGAAGATTCATAAAGGATAGTTCGGCTGAACACATTTGTTACTTTTTGGTACATCCATTGCTCTCTTCTTACGGATGTTATTTTATTTTGAAATTTGTTACTGTTTCGAAGTACATATTTTGCATAATTCTTTATAAAATTTTCTTAACTTATTTTTTTGTCACAAGGTGGCATACTTAAAACGCATTATCCACGCAAAGTTTTACTCCGATACAATCAATGTTGCTTGCTTTGCATAGTGGAAAGTGGAAAAATTCGATGGAATTTAAAATGGTGTTATATGGGAAGTAGGCGTCGTTGTAATCCGATTTCGCCTATTTCCGCACTATAACATAGAAATATAAAAAGAATGTTAGGTATATGTTATGGTTAAGCAGATCCCAAGATATGGGGTTTTACCTAAAAGTGGAGGGTGCCACGCCCACTGTCTAATTTTGAACGCATTTCCTAAAAAATCATTTCATATCATCCCGAAGATAAAATTTAATGTCTCTGGTATTTTTAGTACTTGATTTATCGCGCTTTTAGTAGTTTTTAACAGTACCGTTATAAGGGGAGTGGGTGGGGTTGCCACCCGATTTCTTCCATTTTCAAACTGTTGACAGAGGTGCTAAAACAATTTGTATTCAGTAAATTTTGTTATTATAGCATTAGCGGTTTAGGAGATATGCACATTAAACCTATTAGGGGCGGGACCACGCCCACTTTAAAAAATACTGCAGATGCCCCTCCCTATTGTGATCCTGTATACCAAATAAGAGTCTTGTATCTTGTTGTGGAGCTTAGTTATGGCAATTTATTTGTTTTGAATAATGGCGTTCTGTGGGCGTGGCAGTGGTCCGATTACGGCCATCTGCAATACCAACCGTCTCACGGTAGCAAGAAACATGTCTACCAAGTTTCATAATGATATCTCAATTTTTACTCAAGTTAGAGCTTGCACGGACGGACGGACAGACAGTCACCCGGATTTCAACTCGTCTCTTCATCCTGATCATTTATATATACATAACCCTATATCTAACACGATAAGTTTGAGGTGATACAAACAACCGTTAGGTGAACAAAACTATTATACTCTGTAGCAATATGTTGCAATGGTATAACAAGTAAGGAAGCTTTACGTTTTGTTCTAACCGAACAATTGATGATCTCGCAATTTTCAGTGTTCAAAGGCGGGAAAATACTTTAAGGTCTTGGCTTCAACATTCATTGCTCGACGAAAAGGTGAAAGGATTACAATCAAGTTGAGTTGGTATTAAAATCAACCTATATTAGGTATATGAGCAAAATTCGATTTGGGGCAGCGAGATAGAATAAAGCTATGTACCGAATTTGGTTGAAATTGGTAAAGCAGGTACGGAGATGTGGAATAGGTATAACCTAAAAGATGGCGGTGCGACACTTATTATATAGTTTTGACACCGGCTCCTATATCGTCCTCCAGTACCACATAGAATTTAAAATTAATGCTTCTGATGTATTTAGTTAGTAACTAGTCGAATCTTAGAGCAACGCCAAGTCAGGCAACAACGTTATTTTATATTTACTGCCCACAGACTTGTTCTGTTGGCAACTGGAGCGAAGTCAGCTCTTAGAATGGAAAATCTCCCAACTAATCGTCTGTAATTAGGGACATTCTAAAATACTTAATAAGTTTCCATTCCGACCCAATTCACAGGTTTGCATAGTTATATGAAATCAAACATAAATTCGCTTCCCAATAATGCCGTCCCTTCCAGATAAGAGTGGGAAAGGGTGGGTGAGGTGGACAGGGGCATACGGATGTGTCCGAACCATGTATTCGAGGGTGAGGTGTTGTCTTTTAAGTAAATTTAGATACGAGATTCGCTGGCTTTGAAATTGATCACTTTTCAATTAATACAAGCGGAGTTACAAATTTAAATGGAATTAACAATACTTTAAAGTTAAAAGATGTTGTAAATATAGACGGCCGAGGAAAAAAAGAGCGAAACTCCAAACGTTATCGTGCGACCGCTGTGTCGAAAAAGCGGCCGGGTTGATTCGCCGTCCATCCTTTTATTAATGTTGGTGTGGCCCGGCCTCCTTAGGCGAATACTTAAGTAGTCGCTAAAGCTGCTGCAAGGTGACTACCACGTTGCTGAGGCCTGTCGTGCGGCGAAATTGTGGCCTTAATGGTAGGTGCCGCGTCGAGTGGGGCGTCGGGCTGCGATTGGTGCATTCGTTGCTGTGGTTGCTCGGGGCACAGAAAATCAGTGATGCAACGGGCATTTCAGCGTCCATATAAACCTGTGTAGAAAAAGATTATATAGATTATAAATTTGTTGCATTAAGACTTTTGTTCCACGGCATGTGGCATGAATGGGTCGCAATTTCGATCGAGCTTTTATGTACTTTGGTTGTATTGTTTTATGATTTTTAATTTTGGCAGTTGTTTTAACAGAATTTTGTCAATGTTTCGTTATTATCGGCGGTTGGTAAAAAAATATAATTTTACGAGCGGTCTAGTTAACGTTCCGCTTTGCATATGTAGATCGACTACTTGGATATGACCGTGGGAGCCATAGTAAAGCCTTTATATGCGGCGAGGCCGCCACTTTATAGGGTGAGAGACAATCATAATGAATTAGTACACAATCTCCAAACTTGGATGCTTTTTCTGATGTTTTCCATCGAAATCTCTTGGGGAGGTCCTTTCAATATTCTTCTTTCCTTCGCGGCTGTAATTGTGATGAAGAATTTTAATTCTCTTACATCGATTTAATAAGGATATCCACTCCACGCCTGCCTTAGGTGTGGCTAGAATGGGTGCTCTTTTGAAAAAGTGCCCTGGAGTTAAGGCTGCGAAATCTGAGGGATCTCGCGAGAGTGTTGTGATGTCTTTTTCGACAGTAGATGCAATTAAATTTGCTTTTGCAATTTTTATGAGTATGCGAATGTGACAAGCAATTTGTACATAATCTTTTTGATCTTATAAAATTGTTTCTTTCGTGAATTTTAAATTTTTGAAATATCTCGCAAGATTGTAGTTTATGCCCTCTTGTGCATAGTTCGCATGACGTATGTTTATTCTGTTCGGATGTGAACGATTGCGTGTTTAATTTGTTATTTTTGTTTTAATTAGCTATTTGTCTACCCTTTCAGCGATTTCGTACTGGATAGTTAGGAAGTCTTTCATTTGTTGCCACGTGGGGCATTTCTTTCGTGATGAGAGCGATTGCTCCCATAAAAGTAACGATTTTTCT